TAGGGTGTTGAGCATGTTACAATTTCGTTTCATTACTGTTTTTGTCTGTCGTTGAGTTCGTGTCTTAGTACTGGCGCACTGTGCACAACAGTGTATCAATAAATAAATAAATAAATAAATAAATAAATAATCTTTGAAAATGAGTGAAGTCGAATTAGTTTGCATATGTATGGAAAGAGCGTAAAAAGTGCTATTAAAAAGCAACTGTTAAGGTTGAACTTATTTGATTACCTTGAAAGGATAAGTAATATGTTTCCTGGCACCCAATGCCATATCCTCTGTTCTAAAGCCTTGAGACCACCGAGCTATCGTGGATTTGGTGACAGTCCCCTCACCCATTGCTGCGCAGATATCTTTGGCAGGCTCACTTGTTCTACTGCGGCGCTGCTGCTCAAAGATCAAAATTATCTGAAGTGTGAGCTTTAATTTTGAGCGCTTACATAAATAACTCCACATGACAATGCCCAACTACAGACCTCGATCAGAAGATCAGGTTTTGTTATGTACTAACATCTGACGAAACATGGACTTCCAATTAGCTTTTCTATTTAAGAAAGCTGCATTTTTCCTCAAGTGCCCCATTACTTTTGGATCACCCTAATATGTAAGTGAATAGCAGATAAGGAAGAGAAATTTTGAGTCTATGCTGCATTTAGTGGTATGCAGCTTGTTTAGCCTGGCACTTTTGACTTGACCACTCCCTTGTTACTCGAAGCGAACAGCAGTGCACTTTCAATCTAACAATTTCGTAAAACTTCACTTCATTGAATGAGGCAAACTTGCTTCGGTTATGTATTACCAGTGGTATTATACAGGGTGTCCGTAAATATGTATACACTGTTTGATCGTTAATATCTGTTTTCCCAAGAAGTGTTTTGCCTTGCTTCAGGTACCATTTTGTAGAGCTGGCTTCAGCTTAGATTTACAATGTAGAGCGAATCGTCCATCTTTCTCCTTTACTGTAGGATTACGGTAGAAATTTGAAAGAGGGTTTTGGGCCATGAAAGGCCATATTTTGCCTCAGAAAGGAGACAGAACAGCCTGAAAATTTCTACACTAGGCTAATTAGAGTTGCTGATTCTAAATGTAAAGTTGCCAACTTATTGTGATGCTTCATTGAAGAGCTATGCCAGGCAAGAGGTTGCGCCAATTTTTCAATGTTCCTAAAAAGTGCGGTTGCACCGTTTAAAAAGCTTCGCAATCTTGTGAATAGTTGAGTATTCTCAGCGTCCATAAAAACCATATTACACAAGTTTTCACATTTTTTTGAAAAATTTTGAAACGGCAGCTTTTTCCACATTGATACCATATGTTTCAAGTTTCTACCGTAATCCTACAGTAACGAAGAGAGATGGGTGATTCATTCTATAATGCAAATCTAAGCTGAAGCCAGCTCTACAAAATGGTACCTGAAGCAAGGCAAAAGACTTCTTGGGAAAAGAGATATTAACGATCAAACAGTGTATACATACTTTACGGACACCCTGTATATGATCAAAAACTATTCTTCAACTTGCTGCGCCACTTTCAGATTGATTGAAGTTTTGGTAAATCAGAATATGAGCTTCTGGCACCACTGGAGGAAACTTGCTTTTATGACATTTACATCTTATTGGATGTGAAATCTCGCAAACTAACTCGAAAGGCTTTGGTTGCTTAGCATATTAGTGACGATCCCGGTCGGCTATGCTTACTTATTTCAGTACCAGTTCAAAGCGCCGCTTCGCGGCGCTTTGAACTGGCTTGCGTGTAGAGTGAGAAGTGTTCAAAGGCTAGAACTTGTGAAGTTTTGTCTTCAAATCTTTTCGTAGCCAAAAGTATAGCATAAAAACTTTAGGTATATACGTGTAGAGAGTAGTAGTAAGTTACTTTCTAGCTCTCTAACTCTTCAACAACTCAAATAGCTCCATGCCACATGCTACCTTAGCTTCACTACAATCTTCCTAACTCGGATTGAGTGCCACTAAATGCTTGAATCCACTCCAGGGCTTTTATATCCGTGTCATAGTACCTTCCTCTCCCTCTCTTCCCCACCCCTACCCTCGTCCCATCCCCTCCCCCCTCCCCGGCCCCTCCCAGCCCCCCGCACCCTACTGGTACAGAATACAAACCCCATGTAGCATAATGCCTTTCAGGCACGCAAAATTTTTATGTAGAAAGCACTGAAGAGTGGTAAGTTAGCCCCTAGCTCTTTAGCTCATAAGAAACTCCAACAGTCCTTAACAGACTTGGACTCAAATAGCTGCACGCCACATGCTGCGTTAGCTTCATCAAAATCCTCTCAATGCTAGAACTTTTACGGAAGCGTGCCACTAACTTGCTTGACTCCACTCCAGGCTTTTTCTGTTCATGCCAGGTACATTCCTCTCTCTTGCCTCCCCCTCCCCCTTCCTCCCCTCTCCTCAGCTCCCCGCACCCTACTGGTACAGAATAACGTAAATATCACTTTCATTTGTGCAATTTTCCTGCGTTTGAAGTTTTGAGCGGATTTTGCTTTTCTCTTTCCCCATTAGTTACCTACCTACGGAGAATAGAGAGGGAAGATTACGAACGGTATAATTAAACAGTTTCCAGTAGAGTTTTTTAGAAGGAAAACTTATTATCTTCTAAAACTTTTTCTAAGTAGAAACTCTTTGAATATTTCTGCAATTATTGTCCTACTTTTCGGGTTCTCCTTCTGCTGACGCTGCCATTACAATGCGTAACCTCAACGTTGCTTATCGAAAGTATGCCTACGCTTTTCGCCAAAATTCAGCTTTTTATACAGTACCACACAGAATTTGCTGGCTAAGGTGCAGGCTATTCTACTCTACCAAAAGCTCCACCTGCGGTAATTCCTCATGAGGAGAGACCGCATTTCCCTCTTCTTCCCTCTCAAATCGCACCTACTGCTCAAACATCCTTTACCAAGTTTTCGAATAAAGTTCGACTTCTACTATTGAGATTCTACGCTTAACCTCAAAGTCAATAAGTAAAATTCCATCCTACCCCGCCTCCTTTCCTCAGACTCTTCATGTAAGTGCTTACGATTTAACTTCCATTCACGAAACTTCATCTGCCATATTTCAATTTTCCCCATTTTCCTTCCTTGAAAGCCTTTCTAGCCTGTCACACTCCCTTTAGTTACAATGCGGCCAGAATTCCATTATTTTGCTCACAATATGAAATGTTAAACAATTACTAAACATACGGCTGTTGGTGTATCAAAATCGAGAACTTTCATGAGGGAAAATCCCATCTGGGATTTCTGCTGCACCACTTACAACTTTGTAAAGCAGTGCTTTTGTACAATTAAGTTATAGAAAATTGGCAACTAAAATAGACTGGTACCAAGTTGACACATCCTAATGCGCTAATTGAAATGAAGCGAGCTGTTACTTGGTGACAATAATGCTAATCGATAGTACTGTTTATGGAGTTGAGCACGAAAGGGCGTTCCAGTCAACATCTCGGAAGGCAGACATCCTGGGTGCATTGGGTGCATTCGAGACATAGCGACAAACGCATGAGTCACATGGTCCCCCCTGCGCTTTATTATAGAGTATGATTAGAGCAACTTCATCGGTGAAATGTTGATTATTTCAGTATTAGAGCTACTTTATCGGTAAAATGTTGATTATTAAACTATCGCGAAAACCAATTCGTGCGCAAAAGAGAAGCTGGTAAGACAAACTGGTGATTATGTCATAGCTAAAGGACAATCGGTCTTTGGTGCTGTTGTATCTTTGATGCTGATAATATGTTTGCGCAGCGATTAGAGGTTAATGCTGTTATTTGGAAGATGAGTTTCAGAGATTTGATAGTCAGCCACTAACACACTAACACACGCCACTTCACGACAATACGACCCAGCAGTGGGTCGTACGTGTTCTGCCGTTTCGGACAACACGACCCACTGTGGGTCGTAAGATTCCTGAAGCTCTACATTTGTCAGTTTACGATGGAATTCTACGGGGTTCTGGCACATGGTTGGGGACACCTAGGCGAAATTTCAGTAAGAGCGGTCCGGGAGCATTACTGTAATGTGATGTTACGTTAGATACTAAGTAGATAGATGTAAGGCAAAACCTTTAGCTCAAATTATATGCTGTTTTTGAGAATTCAAGTGTACATCACTAGAGAAGCAATTCTACTAGTAAAAAATTTGTTAGCCCATCAAAAAATCTTCAATTTTATTGATTTTATTGATCTTTTGCAATGGTCATCCCGGGAAGCTCAAATTTCACATATGTAGGTTTTTCAGTATGCTGATTACGAAAATGATAGTCTCAATTCTCAATACCACCTTCTTACACCACCTTGATTTTTGCGAAAATTTTACCGTATTGCTACCGTGACCATACTGGGAAAGGTGTGAACAAAATGGATACTATAAACACAATCAGCACGTGAAATAACCTTAAAACACACTTTATCATGAAAATCCATGTTGTTGGGTTCATACTAAATGACTACCGTAACCTTACCATCTAACGCCAAAAATTGTATAAATCATATTCTGATAATCAATGCCTTCGATAAGCCGTTTGGTGGCATTTGTGGAGGCATCTTTTGAATATTTTCCAAAAAAACTACCATTTCAGACAATAGTAGGTTTGATAAAACGGAAAAGGCTCTGGTCCGCAACGGCAGTAATCGAAAAATCGGCCTTGTCCTGAATGTGTTAATGAAGTTCATTGTCTATGGAATTTTCATTGCTAGTAATCAATATAGCTTTCTCTACCTTCAACCTTGGTATAGATATCCAGTCAGGATCAAGGCCACTTTGCTAATTCCAGTTTAGAGCAGAAACTCAAAAATAGAATTGCCAGAAAAAACTTTTTACTACTTTTTCATTCTTTTTATTCAAAAAGGAGTAATTTATGAATTAAACTGGCGTCAACCACATATCAACATGCACAGAACAGCATTTCGATACCGATCAAGGTATTTTAAGAGCTTTCTATCTCAGTTAGAAGAAAACTTTCCGTGTAATATGCATCAGTTGTATATGCTTTCAGTGTCAAGCCGATTTGTCGATGTGCGAGAGCATGTGGATTGGATTTGCGAAAAGACCGGTGAGTAGATCTATGAGTACAACGCAATGGAATGAGCCTGAAAAACAATAGCTTACAATACTATCAGAATCGGGCTTGAAAACGAACGAAAAGTGAGGAGAGGGCTTTAAAACCACATATAAAGGCTTAGTCACGCCAGTAGGGGTTTTTGCTGTCAATAAATATCCGGTATCTCCTAAGCCATATTTTCTGACTTCTACATTTATGCAGGAGTCTGCCCGCTTCCCGAAGGTTCTGAGGACCAGGAGCAACCATCCCCCACAGCGTCCGGATGGTTACTCAACCCACTCTGACGACTTCCGCCAGGAATGAAAGAAAAAAATCAGAGTGAAATTTTGAACTAACTACATTATCTGTTGCCGATAAACGATTTGCATCACCTTATTCTCAACTTCCACCATTGAACTGGGAGTTTCTAGGCGTAATCTGAAGATATTGAATAAATGAAAAATTTTCATTTTTGCGTGCTCAACTTCGAACGACGAGCACACCTCCTTCAAAAATGGTGCTTTTTTCGTCACATAAGCTTTATAGTGTTCAAGTCTCTAGCAACCAGCGCGTTTTTAAACTTCCTTCATGTGAACTAAACTCCGGGAGATCAGGATAGTAAAAGATTTTGGCTTGCATTGTTGAAACACGTGTCATATTAGATCCATTTCATCCACTTCGTCCACTTCACCATCGCTCAAATCAATCAGCAGACCAATAGCGAAGCCAATGTTCACTCGATCTAATTCATCCACCACTGTTGGTCAGTCCAAGTATTCAAAGCGAAGTGCATGAAGTGGATCAAGGGATCATGTGGATCACGTATGGCGTGTGCTAAACACGTTGACAATCGAGCTTTTGAGCGAAAATTCCACTGACTTTCTCGCGCTTTTGAGCATGTATGTACGCGCATGCACGAAATCATTATGTGAGCCTTTCTAAAGGCTTATTTATGAAACATGCAAAGTTCAATCGGAGATACATGTATCTCACAGAATCTTTCATGAATGACACATAGGAACATTCTTGCATCAAATCTTCAGATGGATCAGATGCAATGACTATGTTTAAGGGACCTTCTTTTGAAAAAAGCGTTTTATTGGGTGTTTTTTGCCTTACTTCATCCTTGATTGCTAAACGGCTACAAACTCGCTTTCTCAGAGAAACATAATTAGCATATTTTACCATATCGAAAACGGTTTAAACACCCAAATTTGTGGTGTAAACTAATCACCAGTCACCGCGATGTCAGTGTGTTTTATACAGCAATCAGGCCCCAACATTAGTACTTGATACTGCATGAAATTACCCTAGCTTTTGTTTACACCTGAAAAGCTCCCATGCATAAGTACGTATGCACGAAAATACTGTCAGGGAGTTAGGATGTGCAAAGGCACGTATGCACGCGGTCGTCAACGCATCAACTGGGTCCTATCACATTTCAAAGGTTCTAAGTCCGGAAAAAAAGAATTGCTAGGATCTAAAGAATCTTCGAATTGCGCAGTTCCTCGCTTTTCTGAGACTCATCTTTTCTATGAGCGGTCTACGACATTGAGAAAAGATGGCAAACGGAGTGGTTCTATGTGCAAATCACTGCTTTCTAAAATCTCTTAATTAACGCTCTTTCGCTGTTATACCACCATTCTGTCCTAACTGCGCGGCTAAATTTTATGAAGCTATAAAGCACAAATTTGGGAAACCTCTAAATAATTTCATCACATTGCTGGAGTGACTATCTGATCATAGGCATATTAGTTCGTATAAACTGGTCTATCACTAATTCTTTATTCTTCACGGAATCCATCTTTTATTGATGATGTTAAATCAATCCAAAGAAAATCTTGTTGTTCTCTCATCTGCGAGTCGACACATGCATATAATTGCCTGCTAAGAGTTTTCTGCATACTCGCAAAGGTGGCTCCAGAGTTGTACGAAATCTCAGATCTGCTAATATCTTGCAAGGCCACATATGGTCTGATAAGAAGCCGGATTAGGTGGTCTGATAACCTTCCAAAGCAACACAAAATGTTTAGCTTTTTTAGAGTAGGATTGATTTTTCGAAACGATTTTGCACCCCTCAGAGGAAAGACTAGCCTGGTCACATGCACTAAGTGCGAGAGCTCCTACATCATTCTTATTTTAAACTCGAAAATGCGATTATTTAGTGCATGAGTTTTATCATGTCAAATTCATAGCTGCCAACCTCCTAACTCAATGCCCCATACTTGATGCGATCCGCACAAACTAGAACACTTCTACTACAAAATTAAATAGAAACCCTATCAGTCAGCGCCCGTCGCAAAAGCGCATGTCAGCAGCACAAAAAAAGAAAGAAACTTTCCAAAAAATATGATCAAATGCATTCGCCATTGCTCGCTTTCACCAGTTTTTAAGGGAGAGTACAGTGATGCTGCATAGATGCGCATCAGTAGCGGACGCACAAGTTTTTGGACGACTGGGCGGAATTCTGAGATGAGGGAGTTAGACGTTACTATTCTTAGACTGACGGACTTGGGAATTTTCTGAAATCTGATTAAGTTGAAGACATTGTATGATTGCAGCGCTGTCATACTTCATGCTAAGGTGTTAGGGTTAGAAGAGCCTTCTAAATATGAGTAAAAAACAAGAAGTATCTTGGCGGGCAGCCAACATGAACAGCTTCTACTAACCATAAGGATTGCGTATATAGATCTTCTTCAACAATTAGGTCGTTCCGAAAGTAATGTCGCTTTTTTCAAACGTACGCCACATCTCGTGGAAAAAAGATATGTAAGAGGTTCTGAAAGCATTTGATGCAGCATTTCATTCGCTCTCTAACGGTTATATAACCGCTGCAAAAAATCCAATAAGCTCTCGAAAAAATTGTCAAAATTTGCGACCCATGCTTTTTGACAAGGCCAAGTTTCAAAATTCTTCTAAATTCTTCTAACAACCCTCGGAAGGAATCCAAGTAATGGATAGATAGAGCAAACCCTACAAGAAACAGCACAACTTTTTCCTACTTTCCAGAGCTCGTCATAATTTTTGTATAGATTTTTTGATAGAACTACCGAATTTTAGCAGGCTCGTCTCAAACACAAATGCATCAAACACCAGTAAATCTTCGGATTTTGAAACTTCCAAAGATGGATTATGGTTTGACACTAATTTTACAAAGCAAGTGAGCATTTAACGCTTTAGATTAGCAACTTTCGAAAATTCCGGGTACAGCCTGAGGCGCCTCGGAAAACCTGAATTATGATAGTTCTACTCCGAAAAACACGACGAATCGGAAACAAAAAACAGCCGGTAAAAAGAGGAGAAAAAGCTGCGTCAAATGACACCCGAGTTGCTTGCCGGTTGTTGTTCTGTGAGTTTTGAGCTGGCGAAATATGGAATTCAATGGCATTGAAAAATTGACTCCAGAAACTCTAAGTAGCAAGCTAAGGAAAACAAAAAAGTTACTCTGTGTCCTACAAAGTTTGCTCTATCTATCTGTCAGTTGTGCTCTTTGGAGAACAGGTGCAAAAATTTAGAAAAATAGCCGAACTTAACTATGGCGAAAAGCATGAGTCGCAGATTCTGGTAATTTTATAGAGCTCGATGAATCTTATGCAATGAAATTACAACCTTTAGAAAGAGGATGAAATGCTGCATCGAATGAGATCTTCTAAGATTCTTAGCTCTGAAGATTCTTTTAAGATCTCCTGAAAATCTTGATTCCATGAAATGTGACGTTCATTTGAAAAAAGCGAGATTGCTTTCGGCACGACCTAATACATTTACGCTATGACGATAGGAATTTGGAAATAACGCTGGGAGCTCAGTATGCCTTGAATCTTACTGTTTAACACAGCATTCAATCTAGCAAAAAACATGTAGTTCCAAAAATAAGACTTTATACGAGGCATATTGACAACGCAGGGTACGATATGTTCATACCCTCGATACATAGAGCCACGAACTCTGGTAACCTTCACTTTGAGGGTTATAATGGGACACAACCTTCACCTGAAAAAAAAACAGAAGTCATCCGAAGCGAAGCTCCGGATGTTATTATCCGACTATGTCAGACGAACGTTAATGAAACAAATATTGGGAATAATATCTTTAGCTTATCTCAGCGAAAACGAGAATTTGCTTTTTATAGCCTTTTTCACCTTAGAAAAAGTTTCTGTGGTATTTTCGCCAGAATTTAAAACAACATTTCTTAGTTAACCTCTCGTTTGAACAAAATCGAGTTTTAGAAGTTTAGGAAAGCTATTGAAGTTAAATCAGAACGAGAAACTGCACTTAAACCTTGCGCAGAGAGTCGCGCACGAAAACGCCGGTCTATCTTGTTAATGATTGATTTTTAAAGCTTGGGATGTTGTCAGTTCTCCTCGTCGTGTCATGGCGATCAGAATGATATATAATGTTGCTGGGTTTCGTTGAGACCCCGCGGAAATCTGCAACCAGAGCCAAATGCCCCGTCGGCTCTGGTCTGTCTCTGCTGCTCGTCTGCGTCTCCGCGCGCTGCGCGCTACCTCGCTGCCCCAAACGCGGGGCGCGGAGCATTTGGCTTTGGTACCCTTTTCTTCGTTGTTTCGAACCCAATTTTGGCAAGCTATGTATCATTTTGAAGCTCTTGATCTCTATTTTCACGCCGACAACGTCCCAGAACCACATTTTTTGATTTGATCGAGAAATCCGGCAAAAACCTTGTTTTCGAAAATCTGAAATCCGGCAAAAACCTTGTTTTCGAAAATCTCTTGTTTTTCCTCTTGGTTTAACTGTTTTCACGCGGTTTTTGCATATAGATCTTGATTCTGTTTATGATGCAGACAACCACCCAGCTTTTATCTCTTCGAAGTGGAATTTTTTGCGAAAAATCGTAAAAAGTGCGTTTTCTTTACCTTGTTCTGTTTCAGTGCTTTCGCATCGATTTTTTTCCAGCTTGGGCGATTTTTGCTCAGAACAATAAGCGCAACAATCCAGACAACGTCCCAGGAAACAGGAACGTCAATGCGGGGGTAAAAATTCAAAGGACGCATCAAAAATCAAAACCCCGTGTTGCGAATTGCTGGTCCTGAAGCGAAAACTTACACTTTGAGAAGCCGCCAAATAAAAGATTTCCAGCCTCATTGCAGCGTTTTTACCCGGTTTTCAGCAGTTTCTTTTGCTTTTTCTATCTGTTTTACGTCATATTCTCTTCTCTGATCTTCTTTAAACAACCTTCACTATTTATGACGTCAGATGCTCAAACAACCTTCACTTTTAACGCCCTGTCTCTAGACTATCGAAGGTATGGGTATGTTTATTTCCAGCTATCGTTCATCTTGGCATACATCGTCTGCATCTTCCCGAAACACCGATGCATAGGACATCCGTTTACAGTTCCTTCATCACCAGAGGTTATTTATACACATGTAGAC